ACCCCGAATCATTTCTTGGTTGGATATGGTAATCAGAATGAACCAATATGTATAACCGATTCAGGATCAACATTACGAAAACAGTGGAAGAAATCCCAGATGATGACTGATATATTTTGGCGTAGATGGATAAAGGAATATCTACCCCGGCTGAATAAACGTTCCAAATGGACAGACGATAATAAACCAATTGAAGTTGGAGATATTGTTGTCATAGCGGATGACAATATTCCAAGAAACACCTGGAGATTGGGAAAGGTACAAAAAGTATTTCCAGGACCAGATGGAAAGATAAGAGTCGCAGAAATAAAAACAAGCACTTCTACTTTCCGAAGACCCACTAGTAAGTTGTGTCGTATACAAGAGACTAGTGAAGAAGAAGACCTTCCTTCACCGCGGGGAGAAATGTGACGGCGTATTAATATCAATGTTTATGAACACATTGTATATGGGAATTTTGATTATTATTGTCAATGTGGCAGAGTCACGTCACAATTTTGAAAAAGAATAAAGACTTTCTGTTTGGAACTGAAATATTTGATTATCTGTAACAAAAGTATTAATTGATCTCTGAAAATACAAAAATAGTCGAGTTATGGCCCAGTGTCGTTGCCTTCGCCATAACTTTCATTAGATTATAAATGTTGGTGGCAGTGCTAATCATATTGAAGAATTTTATTTCAACATTGTTTCAGATGCAATGCATTCAATTAGATAATTGATACAAATTCGAAAACAGTAATAAATAAAGTATTAATTGATCTCTGAAAATACAAAAATAGTCGAGTTATGGCCCAGTGTCGTTGCCTTCGCCATAACTTTCATTAGATTATAAATGTTGGTGGCAGTGCTAATCATATTGAAGAATTTTATTTCAACATTGTTTCAGATACAATGCATTCAATTAAACAATTGATACAAATTCGAAAACAGTAATAAATAAAGTATTAATTGATCTCTGAAAATACAAAAATAGTCGAGTTATGGCCCAGTGTCGTTGCCTTCGCCATAACTTTCATTAGATTATAAATTTCGGTGGCAGTGCTAATCATATTGAAGAGTTTTATTTCAACATTGTTTCAGATACAATGCATTCAATTAAACAATTGATACAAATTCGAAAACAGTGATAAATGAAGTATTAATTGATCTCTGAAAATACCAAGGAATTTCGTTGCTCCAGATCACTAACTATTTTGAGTGAAAAAATTCTATCAATGCATTCATTCATTCATTCATTCTGTCGGATATACAGGTTGTCAATAGTGCGAAAAATATATTTCTAGAAAACCTCTGGAGGAAAAAAACCATGAATTTCCTACATTTTGTCTTCAGACTTTCACATGTCTGATTCCTTGACACCACGTCGTCTTATCGATGCTCAATCAGAAATTAAGCATTGTACAGGGCATCTCATTATGTTTGAGAGAGCCAATAGTATCTCGGTTGTTGTTGAAGATAGAGCTTTGCGGTTTTGGCGGTCCTGTGCCACATTTTTGTGAAACTCAAGATGGCCCGGACACATCTTGACTAAGTTAGTTCGTTCATAAGTTACAGAGCGTTTCAACTAATTCACAAGCGATCCAGTGGCACACTTTTTTTATTTTCGTGCTATGATTTAGGAGATACGACTCGAACTTATGATTTTTCCAATTGAACACAGGGTGTTTTATGAGCTCATTGAGTTGCATCTTTTTTCCTGAACAATAATAAATGATACATAGATATAAAAGTTTCAAAAATGCTCCAAAATCACTAAAACATTGAATTCTGATACAGTTCCATTTGAAGGAATATCACTTCTGATTTTTCCATGAGGAGGACAAAAACAATACAAATACTAATTAACCAACAGAACACAAAAACTTAGATTCCTTATAGCAACAAATTAATAGTAAAATGAAAGCTTGTAATGTGGAAAAAGTATCTGATTATATATTTTCTAAAACAATAATTGATTTCTCAAATTATTCAATAACTGCATTCTTTGAATTGTTCAAATTGATGTCCATTGTCCAGATAGAACTTCAACGACAACCGCGATACCTTGTTTTCACAACCAAAGTTGGATGCACTGTTCAGGGCATCAAGTTTTATTAATGTGAACCCCTCTTAATCTTTTTCGTTTTCCACCCATCAAAATGAAATTGATAAATATTTCATACAATAATTTTTCATATAGGTTCCAATCATAGTGACAGTGTTGCAATATCTCTTCCAGTATACAGAGAATTCGAAAAATATATATATACTTTTTAAATCAAATGCGCTGTATATTTTGATAAGATATGGATCCCTGATATCATATATTTGAAATCAGGATGAATTGAGGAATCCAAATCTATCAAAATATACGGCGCATTCTATTCGAAAAAAATATATTTTTCTCCTGTATATTTGAAGAGATATTCCATCATTGTCAATTTGAGTGGAATCTGTATAAAATCAGCTTCAATTTTCTTTAAATGAGTGTGAAACATAAAAAATTAAGGGGGGTTCAAATTATTGAAACTAGCATTGTACAGTGTACAGTATACATGTCAAATGCCAAAAATGGAAATATCATCAAGATATTTCCGAAAGATCAAGAGTAGATTAGGAAGTATTGAGATCATTCTCTGTCAACAAAATGCCTATTTCATACAACATTGCGTAATATTCTATAACCACAAAAAATTTTTGGGTACTGAGGAAACTAGTTAGTACGGGCGAATAATCTATCGTTGATTAGAGCTCTAGATGAATCGTTCGGAAAACTAACTTTTCAGCACTAGTGCGGTGAAGTTACCTTTCCTCACGATATTTTCGTGCACTGAAAAATAATAGAATCGATTTTTTTTCATCGATATAATAGGGAACGTATTTGAGGAACATTTAAATAACAATAACCAAAAAATTACCGATGATGAATATTGAAATTGGAAGTGCAATTTCTGTTTGTTGCATGCTGTAATATAGCAGATGCCGCAACATCTTGAAGAACGTCGTTTCTTATTTGAATTTGATTGATTAGTGTTTGGTCCACTACAGAAATTCCTTGATCAGTTTGTTGCTGAGAATTACTAGTGTAGTGAATGGAGGAAGTTAAATTGATCTGAAATGCTTATTCGTTGACTGCCACTACTGTCAGTTTATAACGACTGTTGCTATGGGTACGCTCTTGTGCCAACAGTTATCACCATGTCTTCTGGTATTTCCTTCGAATTCGTGCGAAAAGTGAAATCGTACGAAAAAGTACAACTTTCATATCGAAAAATCATGCGGAAACATTACCAGTATATCGAACTATTCGATGTATGGAAATTCTTGGGGAGGCTCAGCCTCTATTACCTTCCCTGAGGAGCCGCCACTGGTGGTCATGAACAACTTCCAAGTCAATGATTTTCATATCACGGTCTAGTCCATATGCTGCCCCTCAACTCAAACTTTCTGAAATTACCTACTCCTAGTTTAATTGAATATCCTAAAATCAACGGAATTGATACTGCCCGGCGTTTGCCACAAAGGTCGCTCTCGATATTGGCCTGAAACCTTTATTGTTCAGAATCATCTTTGGATGGAATGAGTATTATGCTGAACAAGGAAACCATTGAGATTCTCTGGAATGGACCTCGTTGTTTTTGATAGTTGAATGGTGAATGATGACTTGTATATGCTAACTTGGATACAGGGCGTTGAAGTTCGATGAAAGGAAATAAATTTAATTGAATGAAGCAAATAAGTGTCATATATGCACGACAAAATATAATCTTGAAATGAGTAAATCTGTATACTGTTTCAGAGCGAATTTGAAGTTTAAATTGAGTAAATATGTTATGCTTGAACTCTGGATCTTATTCAATCAAGCACATCCATGAATTGTTTATAAAGAGATATTGAATTAGCTCAAACAATCAATTTGCTTGATCCAAAATAAGAAGATATTGATTTATTCAAATATTTAGTTGATTTAATGAAATATTTGGTTGATTCGAAGAAATATTTGGTTGATTCAATGAAATATTTGGTTGATTCAATGGAATATCTGGTTAATTCAATGGCATATTTTGTTGATTCAATAACATATTTCGTTGAATCAAGAGAAACTGTATTTGCATTAGACAAATTGTTTCGTTGATCCAAATTCAGTATTAATTTGGGAATTTTCTGGAATTTCACATCAATAGAATAAACTGAACTAGGAAACTAGTCGACTTCTAGTATGAATCTTTCAATGATCGGTTCGAAACGAGTTCATTGCTACATCGGAATATGAAAACTTGTATGTTGTTTCAAAGATATATTCTCATCAAAACGATCATTATTTCATCAACACAACAAATTGTTTATAGTTGCAGGGGCGTCATTTAGGGGGGGCAGGGGGGGTCAACTGCCCCCCCCTGGTTTCAGACAGCGACAATTCGATGCCAGAGATCCTAGCCTCTTTTTCGTTGAATTATGTGAATACGAACCTTGGAGCGAAGAGCAAAATAATTATATAGGGTGAATATAGAGTGACTTGTAACTCCCCAGTCAACAAGTAGCAGAAATTGAAAAAATACGAAAATTGTCGCTCAATCCACTGGACATACCTTGATTCCATAATTATGGTTTTACATTACATTAGGCTTGTTCGCGTTCCATTTATAAACATAACTGACTATACTGATTCTTAAAGTTCCGTGGAACTGCGCATGCTTCTGATGGTTTCGAACTCGAACTGTTCATTTTTCTAACGCGAACAAACCGATCGCCTGATTGTAGGTGTTATGGAAAGAGGCAGTCTGGAGTCTGACAGTCTAGTCTGTAGGAGTATGTGTCGTTCGTCGTTCGTATAGTGGCTCTGTAGAGGGTTAAGGTTAGAAGCTCCGTTACAACACGTTCGATTATTTGTGCCAATATCATCTTGCTTTTGTTACCGCGTGAGACGCGAATCGCAAATTGAAATCCTAATAGGTAGGACGGGCATTATTCCCTTTTTGACAATTTCTGAACTTATTGAGCTACTCGATTCCAATATAATGAAAAGATCGGCTGGCTCAAGAGGCCTGATGGAAAATTGGCTGAAGAATTGCAACAAAAAAACTGTCACTTTGAGTGATCGTTGTGAGACTGATAGCGAGCAACCGAATATTGAAACCGGAAGTGTCATCGATATTCGTTCAAATGCTGGTCATCCTAACAGGGTAAGTTGACTGCTGATTTCGAATAGTGTATCAAGATTTATTTATTTAAAATTGCAGTTGCAATCTACAGCGTCTGCCAGTTCGAGCACTTCGAGCAATGATAATTTAAAGATAACATCAAACTTATCATTGTCTCACAACCACCCTCCGGCTCAACCGATTATTTCCGAATTTCCAGTAAAAAATGGCAGAAGATTCAATCCCGAGCACTACAAAATATTCAGATGGCTTGAATACTCCATTGAAGATGATTCTGTTTACTGCTATGCATGTAGACATTTCTGTAGAAATACTGTATTTGCTGGACAATCCTACGGAAAAGTAGCGTTTGTTGACTATGGTGTGAGTAAGTGGAGAGATATCAAATCCATACTTCAACAACATTCTGTGAGTCAGAAACATATAAGTTCTATGACATTTTGGACAAATGCCACTGCAATTCAAAATAAAACTTCCCAAAACATAGCAAATACGTTGAACGAGAACCGCGCCTGTGATGTTGAAGATAACCGCCGGCATGTTCGATGGTTGATTAAAGCAACTTGTTTCCTGGGGAGGCAAGGACTAGCTTTTCGGGGGAAAGATGAAAGCGAAAATTCTAGGAATAAAGGAAATTTCATTGAGCTGCTAGAAATTTTCTCTGATGAAGATAAGAGGTTGAAAGAAAAATTGTCTCTACGATATGGTCACTACACTTCCCCAGAATATCAAAACGACTTAATCGCTACAGTCGGTGCTCTTACAAGACAATCTATTCTAGACAAGATGTCATCGCATGGGTTTTTCTCTATTTTAGTCGATGAATCGAAAGATATTTCAAAAAAGGAACAGTTGTCATTTGTTCTCCGGTTCGTGGATAAATTAGGTAATGTCCAGGAAAGAGCTTTGGGTTGTTATCATATGAAAAAATCTGATGCTGCAAGTTTATCTTCAGAGATAATAAATATCATGATGACCTACAAACTGGATTTGAAAAAGTGTATTGCTCAAAGCTATGACGGAGCATCAGTAATGAGTGGTGCATTGTCAGGGGTTCAGAAGAGAATACGAGATGTTGCTCCAAACGCAATTTATGTACATTGCCATGCACATAGGTTGAACCTTTGTTTGATTGCCACAGTTAAACACATTAAGGCAGTGAGCGATTTTTTTGACATTGTTCAAAATTTATATACTTTTATAATGAATGGTCAGACTCGATACGAAATGTTCGTTGAGTCACAGAAACAACGAAATGAATCTGTTATTCATTTAGAGAGATTAGTGGATACTCGCTGGTCTTATTGGTATAAGTCACTGAAAAAGGTTAAAGTACGCTATATGTCAATCAAGGATACATTGACAGCCCTATCTGACCAATCAGTTGATAAAGTGGTACGAGCTGAAGCTACTGGTTTACTGGCAGAAATTTCCAGGACAGAATTCACTTTAACTTTGTGCACTATGGAATCAATACTAGAAAAAGTTCATGCCTTGTCTTGTGAGCTTCAAAATACAGAGCTCAATATAGTAGCAGCACTCAAATTGGTCAATTGTACCAAAAAAATGTTAGAGAACATGAGGAATGATACCTCATGGAATGCAATAAAGGACACCGCCACGATAATGAACTCCGATCAAGAAATGACTATTCAACGTACCAGGCACTCCAGGCAGAGAAAATATAATAGCAGATTAACCGATTATTTTGTTGATAGTACTATAGGCAAGAACGATAATCCTGAAATCAAAATTGATGTATTCTTCATGGTCCTAGACAGGTTTATTTCGGAATTAGATCGGAGGTTCTTGGATCACAATGAAATACTGAATTCCTTAATTATATTTGATGTCAGCTCTCATAATGAATTCCTGAACATAGATTCTGCGAAGCCACTTATAGAGCATTATAATCAATCAATCAAATTGATTCAATCCGTTTATCAAGCGAATTCACTACAGCCAAGCAATTTTTAGAATCGGATATGCATGTATGCAAAAATATTATAGACATTAGAGATCGACTGAATGCATTACCAGAAGCTTTTAGTGAATCATTAAAATTAATAGATTTGGTTCTTACCTTACCCGTAACAACAGCTACCAATGAAAGATTTTTTTCTTCAATGAAAATAATCAAAAGTTATTTACGGAGTACTACTGCAGACAATAGATTGAGTGATTTACTCGTGATATCTGTTGAATCGGATGAAGTGAAAAATATCGATCTTGACGAAGCTGTTGATCATTTCGCCAGGATGAAAAAACGACGATATCCTTTGTTGAATTAACTAATTGTGAATTTACTACTCCTTTGTGATTACAACGTCAATGTACCTTTATTTCTGTGACATATTTATTTGATTTAGAATTCTTATTTATTTTTGTTTTTGTTACGTTTGTTACCAGAGAGTTATTTCTAAGTTCAATGCTCAATATAATATCATATAATGTGGTTTTTTGTTTTGTTATATCTACCTGAGTTGGTTGTGTCCAAACCTATTTATATTGAATGAAAACTCCTCAAATTCATCGTTGTATAAGTAAGAAAAGTTTTTTCTGCACATAGAATGCATGAAAATCTGCATCTGCACATACTGGTTGGGAAACTTTACTTTCGATTTGAAACCATTTGACCTTGAAGCAAAAAAAATTTCGCCTGCGGCGCACTTTTCTCCTGACCTCATCTTGCCCCCCCCTGACAAACTCTGAAATGACGCCCCTGTATAGTTGAATCAACATCGACCTTATTCTGGATCGACATAATTTGTTTTTGAGAGAACCATATATATTGTTAATAGAATTAATATTATACTGTTGATTCAATAAGACTCCATTCTTGATTTGAACAAGCTGCTTCCATGAAATAATCATGTATCTGGTTAATTCAACAAAAATTGCTCAGTCCAATAAAAATAATTCGAGCATAAATAATTTGTTGATGCAACAAATCCTTTTTTCCGTGTATCTGACGAACCGATGTTTCTGTAGATATTTTGTTGAGAATTCTTTATTATCTTATGTAAATATGTCAAGAACGTATTGTTGTGATCAAAATAAGACTTCTTTACATGAACCTATGTCGAAAAATACATCACCTTCAAGCTACAGCCACCGTGAGTTGTGGTGAGAAAAGATTATCTGAAATTGTGATCATAAAACCGGATCAAATGCAAGTATGCCAGTACTGCACGCCTCTGAGATAGCAGGCTCAAATGCGTTCCGAAATACGATCATCTCCGTATGCAAGCGTTCAAACCATTACGTTGGAAAACAATGTATTGAGTCATGACTTTCCCTTTCGTTGATGACAATTTTCTGGTAAATGGGATCTGGATATTATTATTGCTATTCAAATTCAGAGTTTCTCTCTTCGAACATAAAATAAGGCCCAATAAAAGTATGATCATCACATGCTCCAACTCCCCCAAAACTGGGTTTACATAATTTTTGAAACAAGAAGGGGATAAAATGTCTAAAAAGACAGGTTCGTGCCAATTTTCAGAAGGTTTGATCTGTTGTTATGTTAGTCACAACTTTTTGATGAACTTTTTCTTTACCTAACTTATATTATTGGCTGTAGCTAGGAAGAGGTGTATCATAGGAAACATGATTTTATGAAGAAAAAGTCTCATTTTGATTCCAACAATATGTCCTTAAAATATTCACATCGAATTTTGAATCACCTGATATATCAATCGAACTTATTTTGCACCAAAGAATTCGATTGCAATTGCGTGTTCAGCCTTGTTTGTCAAAATATTCCAAAGAGAAAGGTTTTTTATTCAAAATTCGATAGTTTCCATTATAATGTAGATAGGAATGTATATGGCGTAAATTCTAAAGAAATACATTGTGATAAACAACATTCATGAATAGTTGTTACTACACACATCATAGAAAATGTAATAGCTATAAGTAAGAATTCGATATGGTGCTCACCTATAAACGACGAAACCTCAGATAATAAATCTGAAAACATCATTATGTAGTAGGGGACCAGAAACAATGTGAAAGTGCAAATTACTTTCGAATCTTCGAAAAATAGAGCTAGGAAGGAATGAGAACAATTTTGCGAACATTTCAGTTTCTTCCAGATATCTCCTAATATATTCAGAACATCTGAACTTTTAACCGGCACATTATTAGTTTGCAACTTAGCCCCAATTGGGGCATCTTCATATATATCATCGAACAGGCATTGGCCTATAACTTCCTATATTATTATGATATACCAAATAATATATCATTGTCACTCATGTCAATTATAATGATATAATATTATACTAACCTTGAGAAGAAGATCGACGATATTAACGATGATAAGTGACTTTTGTCTCTGCCTATGGGAATTCCTCAAATACGCTAGCTCCAGAATTTTACAGTGAAAACTGTTTGTTAAACTTGGCCAGTAGATCCCTTTGTACATAAGACCTCTCTTGAAGACAGTCGCAAAATCAGCTGAAACATAATAAACTATGTACCTAATGTAATCATCCCTTGTATTCAGTTAAATTGATCTGATCAACATAGACCGGAACCTGATGGAATTTATAGGATTTAAAATCACAATTTTGGAAAACGCTTCAATACGACGATTTTATATTTGAGGAGGAACTACTTTTCAGCTTTTTTCACCCCCGTAGCGTTAACCCTTGTAGCTGGGAGGTGAACAACCCTCAACATTTGCATAGGGAAAAGAGGTCGTGCCATACCTTTTTCAGAAAAGGTCTCATCGAGTTCTTCATGACCCTATAATTTAGCCTCATTATTTTCATCGATAACGAAGTAACAGCATGTCAAAATCTTGGAAATACAATCATTGTTTTCGTAATAAAAATACCGAACCATTTTTTAGTTATTGCATTTTATTCATTTCTTCATTGATAAATATTATACAAATGATATATAAAGTATAATTAATTTCTCTAGTAGGAATGACATGAATGATCAGACAGTAATATATCGACTGTTGTATAATTGAAATTTCTAATAATCAACAAAACCTACATATTATTAAGATATCTCAAAATAACAGTTATATTATAGTGAACAAAAAGGAAAAAACAGTGAAGAAAAAAAAAACAAAAAAAAAGGAAATTCATAGTCTTTCAGCTTTGATCATCCCATTGCATATAAATATATTTCTTCAATTTATTTTTGAATTGTATATCATTTCGGCTATTTTTGATATCATCTGGTAATTTATTGAATTAAGAAATCGCCTCATGTGTAAACTCTTTTTGTCCATCAAGTTTAGAATTTGCAGCTTCAAGATGAAACAAGTTATATTGTCTAGTGTGATGATCATGAATTTGGGAATTCCTAATCAATATGAAATTTGATTCAAGCTTTTTGTTGATGATATAATAGGAAATTTTGAGAGTATTGATTGAAAAGTGCTCTTCCAAAAAAAATTTTTTTGTTTCCTTATACTGTTGATTCTTTGGAGAATCATATGGAAGACGATACAATACTTCCAATGCCTCTTTATATATAACAAAAATGTTGTTGAAACGAGTTAAGTTTAGGACATCTTCTTAAAGCACCAATAATCGGAGATACTTTTCCTATGATGGTGTCAATATGCTTTTCCCATGTTAATTTCTCATCTATTGAAGTTTCATGTTCAATAATCAGGTGTACAAGTCAAATTTATCTCTCAAGCTGTTCAAAATATCTGCCATGAACACAGAAAAGTGCCATTTTTCAATCATTTTGGTCAGGATAGTGATTGGCATAGGTGCCTTTGGATAAAATACAATATTTTCACATGTCTTTGGTACATATAACATGTCATTATGAGATGGTCCTCCTACTATGACGACTTCAACTCAATTTAAAGTAAATACGTGAACGTTATATTTCCTATGCTAACGTCTACGTGGTGGTCTACGTACAGTGATTACTTCAATTCTCTAATGAATGCTCAATGCTCATCCTTATGTTACAGTCTGACGTGAGCTTCTTGTTTTTGAGTATTGATCTAACTCAGGGGCGGATTTATATAAGGGCTTTATGGGCTGCAGCCCAGTGCCACGTGAGCAAAAGGGCACCCGGCCCCAATAAGATAATAGAAAAAAAATTGATTATAAATGCAAATCCTTCTTTTTGGATGTATTACAAATAGATATCCATCATACAGAACGTAGGAAGAAATTCTAAATTGAGGAAACCTAATCGCGATGGAAGATCTATAAAAATAACAAGTTTCCTACGTTCAAGTTTGAATCCTTTGATTGGAAGGAATATTCTCAGATGAATCATGAACAAAGGAAAATGAAAAATTGGAGAAATACATTGGGAATTCACATTCACATCTGAAGGAGAATGCAAATTCTCAACATCAAAAGATTTAGTTTTCAAATCCTTATCGTGTGTGTTCAATAGATGTATAATTCAATGTTCGCCGTGGCATATAGCTAGGAAAGTAGTTGTTTTCTGTTGAATAAACCAAGAAAGAATTGATATTTTTATCACATAGTGAATGCGAATTCTCAATGTATTTCTTTATATGTATATCTATTTTTTTAATTTTTTGAAGTTCGTAATTTATCTGAGAATATTCCTTTTCGATTGAATCCTTATATTATCTTATTAATATTTATCATTTTTCATATAACATACCATACATATATACATAGCACACATAATACCTATTGATTTGTTTTGCAAAAATGTCTATCAGTTGTTGTTTGTGTGTTTAGATTATATTTCATTGTATTCTTTCATTTTCGCATTTGTTGTATCTAAGCTCACCACTCGAACCACTCGAAACGTGAAATCGAAATTTTTCGATCAACTTTGTTTGCCTTATAAGATTTTCAATTTCTTTCCAATTTCTGAATGTTCGTTTCATTGAATATCGAATCTATGGAACTGCATATCTTTCTTCAGAATGACTAGAATGAGGTTTCTATAGGATGACAATCACAGCAGTGTAATTTTCTCAATATTTTCTTCTCTGAGGTGGAAAACATATCGCACCATCTATTTTCTCGGAACGGTTTCGAGATTTTAGAAAGTTCTATTGGCTATGGGTACATGTCCTTGTGGTTCAAACTGTGGTCAAAAATCTTGAAATGATATGCATGCTCAATACATATAATCATCAAAGGATACAATTATTGGACATAGCTCTCACAAAGAGTTAACCGTAGACACGTGTTTCGGGCTTTCGGCCCTCATCAGTACGGTGGAAAAAGTGTGCAAAAGATAGGCAACACTTGGTGGAAGACGGAACAACAGATCAACGGAGTCAACAATCAGAAGCCAGCTGCACAATTAGTTGTGGTTTCGGTCAGAAGATCTTGCATTTCCAGGGCTACAACTAACGTCATGAGTGCTATGTCCAATAATTCTATCCTTATTTGCTTAAGATAGTTCCCTGAATAATCCTCATATTATAATCATTGATATAGGGTGGGCCTCAAAACACAATTATGCCATTACAATTTTAAAAAAAATGCATCATGCCTCATTGCATGATTTTTGACCATACTATTTCAATCGGAATGATTAATATACAGCTAATAGAGATAAGATCATCAAATTATGCATTATAAATATACATATTTCAATAATGAGTGTGACAATTCAAAAAACCTTTTCGAGAAAGGAGATGTTGCTATATGTTTTTCATCTCAGAAAATATTAGAACATGTTACTTTTTTTTACATTTTGATTATGATTCTGTTGAATCTTATTCTGGAGAGATATTATTATCATTTTCTCAGGTTTGATATCCAATGAAACGAACATTCAGAAACTGAAAAGAACAAGCAAATCGGTTAAGGGAGTAGGAATAAGTTATAATGAATTAAATTTGATCGATAAATTTCCATTTTACTTTACCAGTGATGACCAGTTCATTAATACCTATATCATAATCGCAAACAGTTTTTTGATAAATTGACAATCATCAGATGGTTGATTAGGCAGGCCTCAACTAGAATTAGCCATTCAGGGCCCACAAACTCATGATCCGCCCCTGATATACTATAACTTGGTCATATTACTCTATATAATTGATTGAACGACTTCGATTTTTTTTTTCTACAGAATTATTTCAAAACATTTGAATGAGCACGCAGAGTGACGACAGAACACGCTGAAAAGTTATATGATATGGGCCAGCACTTGTCAATTGTTCATCAATTTTACTCAGAATACTAAATCTATTCCTTCAACCCTGGTGGACAAGTTAGTTGAACATGGGTCAAACTCAGGATATTTCGAATTCAAACTTCGACCTCAATGGTAGTTATGCATGAACGCGATGCTACAGTACGCTCGCTGGTCATTTGAATAGCCAAAATGTTACACAGTATGCGTTACAGTTGGTTGTGCACGAGCGTCTGGTCAAATAAGCTACCAACGGCCATTTGTGATACTTTGAAAATCATCATCTCCTCTTCGGGGACAACTATCACGCAAGATCTTGAAGTGTTCACATTATTTCATGCATTTGCGTGTCAAATAATTTGGTCAGTATACTGATGTAGTAAAATTATCAGTTGATTTAGTTATGGAAATACATTGAATTCTAGTGAAAAACGAATGAATTCCAGTGATGCGAATAGTTTCTGTGATTTCTGTGACAATTAAGCATATCCCGTTTCTGAACAATTATAACAAAACCGTTTTGAGACTTATGCGTATGAATTCATTCGTATGTTTTTTCGTATATGTCAAACCGTATACCATTGCATACTAGCCATTATATTCATGCGCTGGGAAGTACTGGACGAAATACGAAATTTATTCATTAGTTTTCCTTTCCTGTTTGATCGAATCGATCAAAATCATTCAGTGTAATCCCTTAGCAACATTCAATTTCTTTTAATGTCTAAATTCCTTTCATGCAAAAGATCATCACCTTCCCGAAAAAACAACATCTCGCAGGTACCAAGAATGTACCAAGTCTGTAAACAAAAGAGAAAAATTGTTCTGTGCAAAATATGTCGAGATGCTTTGTGTATTGAAAATTTTTTTTATGTTCTGGTTCCCACGAAAACGGATATCCTGTAATGTTCAGAGAACATCGTGAGAACCAAGGGAAATAAGGTAGGAATTGGTGTTCTCTTTGAATTTCTGGAGGTTATATGACTCGAGGAACACCTCCCTTGGCAATGTGTTTCAGAGCCTCGCTGTTCGTTGGATGAACGGTTCTTTGGGAAGAGATGTTCTGCAGGTCTCCAAAGTGACCACGAAGGGGTACGAAGCCTCAACTCGACGGGTTGATCTCGCGGGGACTGCCAAGGGAGGAACAATTATTGATATTTCAGAAGAGCATCGTCAATGGGAATATCTATGGAATAGAGCCAGATCACCAACTTTTCTACGGTGTTCCAGAGAAGTGAGTGAGTTTGTGAGCGAGGCATCACCCACGAGACGAATTGCCCTTTTTCGGACAGAATCCAACAGTTTCAGGGTATGTTTGGGTGCTACACTCCAAATATGAAAATAGTATTCTAGGACAGGTTGGATCTGTGCCTTATAGATCATAAGCAGCTGACTAGAAGTGTAATAGCTTCTGGCTCGAAACAGAAAACCAAGTTTTTGGGATGCACTTTTAGCAATTGATCTCACGTTCGTTTCCCAAGGAAGGTTATTGCTGATAGTAACACCAAGCATCGAAATGGATGTCTTCAAAGGTATGGTTACTACTGACAAGCTTATGTTGGGCACATACATGCATACTATAACTTCCTAATTATTCCCAATAAACATTTCTGAAGGAAAACATTATTTTATTGTTATTTCTGACTTCCGCATACTGGTATGACGTTCATACCAGAAAGCATTACAAGTCCTAGTGAGCCGTAAAGGTCCGCTGGTGAAACGGTTTACCATTGTTTTATCTAAATATTTGAACAATGTAAAAAATCGAAATGGATCCACAATCAATATTTCATATGAAGGTATTGAATTTTATGGAAATACAACATTTATCTTGATTAACAATTGTGGGTGTTAATGAGTTAAGTTTATACCTTCATGGATAGCTGAGTAAGATTCTTCATCGTAGAAAGAGATAGCCTTATCAGCTCTAGGGCTGCAACTGATCGTGTCCAGAGGTTCTTCGAATTTTCCATTCTTCAGCGAGGTGGAATCGCTCATCGGAATAGAGAGATGGCAGTTCAGGCTATTGTCCGTACTGTCCTGAAAAAAATACACACTACTAATAACGAACTCAATACGCAACATCGATTAAAGATAGGTAATTGTATGCGCCGATAGAACAAATATTTGTCTTCGTGATAACGTGATCACCATTCGTGAAATATGTTCTGTATTAACATAAATCAGCATACGCATCCAATGCATAATATCAGGGGAGAAATCGAGATTTTTCTTTCGGCGTCTGGCTTCTCAACTAATTTCGGAAATGGAATATGGATTGGCTCTCCCCAAAAGTAGTATGTCTGACAAGAAATGCCTCAAGTCATAGCGCAGCTATTCATAAATTATACGATTTCTAGAAACAAGTGTTAGTATAGGCTCTGATATTATTTTTGTTCGAGATTTTATTCTATACAGGGTATATATTCATGATTTAACGCTTTTAAATATCTTTTTCTAACATAACTAAAATGGCATTTGGCGTACGGATATGTACCATGCTAAATGATCGATTAATCACGGATTGTCGATCTGTGATTTATTCAAAATATTAAACACATCACCATGGCAACACGATTTCTTAAACACTTTACCATGGCAACGCAGTTCATTAAACACAGCTTCAGTAATTCGAGACATGTCTGGCCTATAAATTGTATTAACTGTCAACTGTTATTTTCGAATTTTGTATCAGAATTATTCAAACAATATTCTTTTGTATCAGAATTCTTCATTGAAAATATATGCGGAAAGTAGACGAAAGTGAAATCGAAGAGAATGTTTTTGTACTTGCATATCTCCAAGAAGTGTAAAAATGAAGCATCTATCTTTGAGAACAATTATTTATTTATTCTGCGCTAAGCATGACAATAAACGTGAAACAAAGGTTAGTAAGCAATGGACTGGACACATCTACAACCAATATCACTTATACGTGTCTCCCTGGTTGCATGCAGTTGCATGTATTATGTTCTCAATTCCAATTCCTTTCGAATTTTTTTGTAGGTTAGCAGGAATTGCTGGTATGGTAATGTAATTTTCGGAGTTCGTAGAAAAATCATAGTATGTAACGCGTTTATAAACTCTTCTAGACACTCGTTTATTAAACACTCGCTCCGCTCTGCTCCGCTCGTGCTTAAACTACTCGTTACTAAAAAGACGTTCATAAAACTTGTTACATAATATAATATTATTGCAATTCAACATAATATGATAACTCTCCATGTAACAACAATGTCAACATGAATAATAATGTCAATACAATCCATTTTTTTAGTGACATCCAAAAATGTCACACCATAGATGAATACAGTATGATCATATTAAACTATAAAGAGAAGACCTAAAGAACACAACATTTCTTCCTCCGTAACAGCTCAATCCAGTTTTTAGCTCGGAGAAAACCGTAGCGGTGGCCTACTAACACGTGAAGATTTTCGTGGCGAGTTCGCTGGTGCTATGTGCCGGAATGGAGGCGAGTTTTGCATTAATGGTGCAGGCGATAGTGCCTCAGGTCCAGCCAGCGCCGACGGCATTGTTTTTGATTCAGGAGCTGTTATCTCTGGAGTGATCTCTGGAGGATTCGAACTCGTTCCATAAAAGTGAGCCCGTCGTTTGTGCGGTGGCTGCTCGAAACTGGGTGTTTCTGATAGACGAGAATGATCGTCACATGGTTGCAAAAATGAATCGTTTTCTTGGTGTTTTCGAATTTGGTCAACGTGTCGTTTGAAGCGTTTACCCAAAAACTCAATATCGTAGTGAAGATCACCCAGGCGTGAAATAATGGTGCCAGGGACCCATTTGTCCATGCGTGGATTTCCTGAGAGGAAATATACTGCTTGCGCTGGGTAGAAAGACCGGAAAGAATATTCAAAATTTGCTTGTTGTTTCACGGTGATCCTCGTATATAGGTTTTCAGGTTTGAGCAGATCCAAGCGAGTGCGGAGAGAACGTCCAAGCAAGAGCTGTGCTGGGGATTGTCCGGTAGTTGAGTGCGGGGCTTTTCGGTACTGTCGCAAAAACTCGTTCAAGTTACGCTGCAGAGAGCCAGGTGTCGTAGCCATAATTTTGAGGTGATTTTTTACGGTTTGTACGCTTCTTTCTGCTTGTCCATTGGTCGATGGATGATAGGGAGCTGTAAATTTGTGGTGCTTCACTCCGATGTGTTGTAGGAATTCTCTAAATTCCATGGAGGTGAACTCGGGACCATTGTCAGAGACGATAATCATTGGCACTCCGTAAGACGTGAATGAATCATCAAGGATCGCTATCGTAGTGGCCGCTGTTGTGGTGTTCGTGATTTTCACATCGAGCCATTTGCTGTACGCGTCAGAAACGATGAGGAGCATTTTTCCAGCGAAGGGTCCTGCATAATCGATATGGACGCGCTCCCAGGGTCCGTTTGGGTACTCCCAATGGTGCTCACGAAATTTCGGCGGTGCATGTGCGTGTTTGGCACAATCATTGCAAGATTTTGCGATGCCCTCGATGTCTGTATCGATACCAGGCCAGTAAACAAAAGACCGCGCCAATCCTTTCATCTTCACTATGCCTAAATGTGCGGTGTGTAAATCATTTAGGACCGCTAATAACATTGATTTTTCCGAGATAATCAATGGAATCAATATTTCCCTGGTCGATATTTTCTATTGGTTGCTCTGAGCTCGACATTTGTGCGGTGATTTGTTGTTTTTTAGATCTACAGACTCGGCTTACGTGACCTTTCTTTCCGCAGGCTCTACAATTTTTGTCATAATAGAAACATTGGCTTCGTATATGCGCACCACCGCAGCCATTGCAAAATAGCCTTCCGCCGTCGTCTCCGTCTTGCTGAATTCCTTGGCCGTTTCGCTGTGATACTCCTCGGTACGATGTTCCATATACACTTCGTTGTGGTACTAGTCTTCGCGGTGCTGATCCGGAAGGAAATGGTTTTTGTTCGCGTCTGGTCTGGGGTGCACTGTAACCTAATTTATTCGTGACTTTTAGTGAGGGCGCAGTCGCTGAAAATTTCACTTCGCTCGTTGTGTGGTGCGTAGCTTCGAGCTCGTGTACTACTTTGTAAGCATCTGTGAAGTTCGTTGGGTTTTTAGCAATCAACTCGTCGCACATTTCACGAGATCTCAGTCCATGTAGAAGTTGTTCTACAAGCATTCTATCTAGAAATATGCCATAATCACAATGCGCCGCGCCTTGCTTCAATCGGAGGACAAATTGGGCAATTGTCTCATTTTCTTCCTGGTGAATTTGTCGGAATTTGATACTCTCGGCATATTTATTTTTTGATTGGTCGAAATGTTCGATCAGTGTCTTTTTAATATCCTCGTAGGACAGAGTTTCGGGTGCACGAGGATTAATTAGGAATTTCAACGCGTTCAATTCTGTGCCCATATGAACTCGTGCATAATTACCGTGGTCGTCGTCTTGGATTTTTGAGAGCTGCAGAGCCCAGTCAAATCTTTTAAAATAATCTCTTACCGTCATTTCTTCAGAAGATCGGTATTCGGTCATTGAAAATGCAGGAGGTTTGATTTGTTGGCTAGACTGGAAATTGGGTGGAATTGCGTCACCCGCAACTGAAACAGCGTTCGCTGCTGCCGATTCTATCGCGCTCGCGAGTCCTTCTAGGAGATCTGAAGGTACTTCGCTCATTGTGTTATCGTGTCGTCGTATACACGGTAAATCCCACTTTCGACACCACTTTTAAATATCTTTATTGCAATTCAACATAATATGATAACTCTCCATGTAATAACAATGTCAACATGAATAATAATGTCAATACAATCCATTTTTTTAGTGACATCCAAAAACGTCACACCATTGATGAATACAGTATGATCATATTAAACTATAAAGAGAAGACCTGAAGAACACAACAAACGCGATCTTTTTTCATGTTTTGGTTCTCACGATGTTTTCTGAACATAAAAGGATAACTCTTTTCGGGAAATAAGGTAGGAATTGGTGTTCTTCTTAAAATTCTGGAAGTTATATGCCTCGGGGAACATCTCTCTTGGCAATATGTTCCAGAGCCTCGCTGTTCGTTGGATGAACGAGTCTTTGGAAAGAGATGTTCTGCAGGTCTCCAAAGTGACCACGAAGGGGTGCGAAGCCTCAACTCGACGGGTTAATCCGTGTTAATCTCGCGGGGACTGCCAAGGGAGGAACAATTGTTGATATTTCAGAAGAGCATCGTCCATGAAAATATCTATAAAAAAGAGCCAGATTGCTGACTTTTCTACAGTGTTCCTGAGAAGTGAGTGAGTAATAGTGAGCGAGGCATCGCCCACGAGACGAACTTCCCCTTTTTTGGACAGAATCCAACAGTTTCAGGGTATGTTTGGGTGCTACACTCCAAATATGGGAACAGTATTCCAGGACAGGTCGGATCTGTTCGTTATAGATCATAAGCAGCTGACTGGAAGTGAAATAGCACCTGGCACGAAACAGAAATCCAAGTTTTTGGGATGCACTTTCAGCAAATGATCTCACGTAATACCAAGCATCGAAAAGGATGTCTTCAAAGGTATGGTTACTCCTGACAAGTTTATGTTGGGCAAAGTGAGATCGGCTTTTCTAGAGAAAAGGCATGCTTGTGTTTTGTTTGCATTGAAATCTACCAAGTTATTGGATCCCCATTCGAGAACTATTGGCAAGTCCATAGTTATGTTGTCAACATATCTCCCTCGTTCGTTTCTGATTTGCCTGGCTGGTATTGGAGCCCTGGAAGAGAAGGCGGTATGGAGGGTACTATCATCCGCGAAGCTTTGTACTGGACATGAAGTTGCTTCCAACAAATCGTTGATATGGAGTAGGAATAGTGTTGGTGCTAGAATTGATCCTTGCGGAAGAACAGCATTCATGGTAAAGAGAGTCAAATGAAACTCCGTCGACCACTACATGGAGAGATCTGTTTGAGAGAAAACTAGCTAGCAGAGAACATATAGCTGGGGAGGCAAGCCATAAGATGGAAGCTTGGCGAGGAGTCCGTGGTGCCAGACTCGATCTATACAGGGTTTCCCGAAATTAGCCTGCCCTCTA